TTCCATGGGACGAGGAATGCATTCACATTAATATGCATGAAGACCACTGGGTGCATCTTCAGGAGTTACTCTGGATGTAAAGGTAAAGGTTCCCTCGCTCAAAAGCCAGTCGAATCCGACTCTAGGGTTGCGGTGCTCATCTCCATTTCAAAGCCGAAGAGCCAGCGCTGTCCGAAGACGTTTCCGTGGTCATGTGGCCGGCATGACTAAACACCAAGGCGCACGGAACGCTGTTACCTTCCCACCAAAGTGGTACCTATTTATCTACTTGCAATTTCTTGCTTTCGAACTGCTAGGTTGGCAGAAGCTGGAACTAGAGATGGGAGCTCACTCCATCATGCGGCACCCAGGTCTCGAACTGCTGAACTACTGACCTTTCACAGTCTGCAGTTCAGCGTCTTAACCACTTGAGCCACCGCATCCTATTTATCTACTTGCAATTTCTTGCTTTCGAACTGCTAGGTTGGCAGAAGCTGGAACTAGAGATGGGAGCTCACTCCATCATGCGGCACCCAGGTCTCGAACTGCTGAACTACTGACCTTTCACAGTCTGCAGTTCAGCGTCTTAACCACTTGAGCCACCGCAGCTCCTACTCTGGATGTAGCGCAGCCTTATTATTTTACTTCTCAGTACACTTTAATCGAGGCAACGAACATGAAATTAAGCACACTCAGGAGCATGAGGGAAGACAGGAGGGCCTGGCGTGATGTGGGTCCATGGGGTCGCGAAGAGTCGGACTCGACTGTGTGACTGAACAACAACAACACTTTAATAATGGATTGGGGTACATAAACACTGAATCCTTTCACAAGGGAAGGTATGCATTTAAGGACCAGTCTGTATATCACCTTATCCAGACCCCAGTTGCTCTTTCATGGTGATCTCCCAGTCTGGGTTACCGTGACACTCTTCTTGCAAGTCTAGAGAATTTCCTTGCCAGCAGAAATAGCCTTTGATGGTAACCACGGAGAGGCATTACACGAAGGGGAAGGACACACCCTGTGAGGAAGCAGCTGGGGAGCAAATACAGTTGTGTCTGGAAAGGGGCGGGAGAGTTTGCTTGTGACTCTGCTTCCTGCCGTGGACAAAGCAATACTCTCAGCTGCAGGAACATGGCACTCTGGATAGCACCCCTAGTCCTTTAAGGCAGGGCTTGATAAACCCCAGGTCCCAAGGGGCCTAGACACTTCATTGTGGCACCTACAGTTTCCAGCAATGATTTTATTGCAGCGGAAAGGTGGGATCCAACCATTTTTTTCCTACTGACAAAACAAGGAAGAAGCCTTCAAGTGCCAGAAAGGCTATGTGTGGCATCTTGAGACCTGCATGCGCAAAAGACATGTGGAACAAGGGCTGCCATGAGAATTGGCCCAGAATGAGTGAAAAAACTGGCTGGATCCAATTCAAAGCTCACTTTATCATTTCGCTTCAGTATATTTTATTGTACAACAGAAAAAGGGTGCATGAAATGTTTGTCGTTGCTTGTTTCAATGCAAACCTCACTACACCATTCAATGTTGCTGAAGGAATTAAGTTCTTAACCGTCCCATACGCAATTAAATTGTGCTTTTTAAAGCAACAGTGAAATTATGGAAAACTGGAGGAAAGTCAGGCTAGAGGTTAGCTTTTTGTTGCGGTGATGGGTCACCGGCTTTAACAAAACTACAGGAAACTGTGAAGAGGTTAGGATCAGGTTTTGTCATTGCAATAATTAGAACATTGCGTCGTTGAAATACAAAACCTTGAAGGCTGAAAAATTAGCCTGGCTGCTAAATTTTTGGGCTGGCTCCTAGAGCCAAGGAAAATTGGTCAAGGCCCGCTGTAAGCACTTTAGACAAACAGTGCAAGAGTTAAGCTAGTACTCCATCTAGAGTCTACCACTGTTTCTTCCTCAGTATAGTTTGTTGTGGTAAACTGAACAGTTTGTGTGCCACAGTTGCATTATACATGAGAAAGGACGCATAGGTTGCTTTAATCTGTAATGTTTTGCCCAATTTCAGTTGAAAGCCCTGCCCACTGTGATGTTATTGCTTCATGAAATGCAGGCCAAGTTTGATGCTGGGCAGAACTACAGTGGAAGTCTCGGCTGCAGGTTTGTCAGGCTTTCCCAATAGCTCCCCCACCCTTGTGACCCTACATTCTTTCTCTACTTTGTCAAATCCTTTATTATGATACGGGATTTAGAAAAAACCATCAGCTCTGTGCTTCTAATGTCAGACGCAAGCTTCTTTTCATCCCCCACCCAGGAAGCAGCGGCAAAAAACACACACCAATAGAACCGCATGATTTTGCATGAGTCATGCTATTAAAAGGAGAGTGAGGGTTTTGCAGGTTTGTCAGGCTTTCCCAATAGCTCCCCCACCCTTGTGACCCTACATTCTTTCTCTACTTTGTCAAATCCTTTATTATGATACGGGATTTAGAAAAAACCATCAGCTCTGTGCTTCTAATGTCAGACGCAAGCTTCTTTTCATCCCCCACCCAGGAAGCATGATTTTGCATGAGTCATGCTTTTAAAAGGAGAGTGAGGGTTTTGGCTTATCACTGAAACTCCCCTATTCACAATTCATATTCATAAGCTGGGCATCTCCACCCACGCCCTGCAAACAAACATTCCTTGCGGAAATTCTCTGTAACTGGCTTAAGAATGAAGAAGTCTGTTTTCGATGTTCTTCACTGACACGACACGCCTTGATAACATGGGCCCAACTTAACAAATGCTCATATTGGCATGCTCCTGTACACAGTCCCCAACTATAAACACTTACAATTAGTGCTATGGGACACCACAACAAGTGAGAGACACACACGTTTAAGACAAATCAGCACTTTGTGTCTTGATCTATGATCCACAGCATCCCGTTGGTCCTTCCTTTTCCTAGCTAACTCCTCACACCTTTCTAAAGGCACAAACAGATAACCATGCTGACATTTCCAAACTCCCCCTCTGCAGCTCACTCAAAGCTACCATAGCTATACACGACAAACACAGTAGATCACCCAGCATTTATACAAGCACGGCTGTGAGTGTTCAAAACACTTTACAAGCAAAAACAGTCCTGTAAGGTATCTAAGGGGTTGAGGTCTGGCTAAGGTGATTGGAAGCAGTTCACAGCTCACATTCTTACTTATGACACTATGCCACCTCTTGTCTCTACCTTATTCAATTATATATAAGGAGAGATGCCACCTCTTGTCCCTACCTTCCATGTGTCTGGTCAGGTATCACAGAGGGCAAGAGACATCACTTGAAGTTCGTGGGCACTGAGGCTGGTTCACCACCTGCCAGCAAGGCCAGTGGTAACAACCCACAGCCAAATCTCGATGTGAAATCTGCATAGCTGAACAGGGAATGTCCCAGGAGCTATGCCTATGTGTGCGCACCACTAGTTCTTCGTCTCCTTTCTACATGTTCATTACAAGTCTGGCATGAATGTCTACAAAAATTATGAACTATTTCTCTGCCTCTTTTCTATTATGTTCCTTATTACAACAGTCTTGCATGAATGTCTGCAAAAATTATGAACCCAAAATATGTTTCTTTTTCTTTTTACCATGTCCACCAATGCACACCTATGTCAGTTATTTATGACATGCTGACAACTGACCAAAAGATTTCTGCCATGCCACCACAGGCACAAGAGACAAGTTACATACCTATATTATGCCAGTTCTCACCTGCCAACCTTAGTTTTTGTATGCAAGGCTTGACAGGCGTTTCACAACTTGCAGCGAGTTAAAGAATCAATATTCCTTTGCCGTTCGCTTCTGTCCCCTCGTCCTCCTGCACCAGCCCAATGGCGAGGAATGTTATTCCCCTTTGTGAGCTCTTCAGAGAAGTCTCACCTTTTAAGCATTCGCCAAGCATAAAGCAAACGTCAAAGGAGGCCCCAAAAGAAGGCTTTTAGGTCTTCCCATTAGTTAACGTTAACTCTGGCTTTGTAGGATCTAACGCTGTCTGTGCACAGCTGGGGTGAGGAAAGCAATGCTTCTGCCTTGGCAGAACTCCATGTGCTTGTGTTCTGCCCAGCGGGATTGCTTAGCTTATGGATTCCGGTGCAGTCCAAACACATGAATACATCTTTGGAGCACTCACAGGACTTTGTGTGTGCTCGTGTGTGTATCTGAGAAGTGTACAGCTATGTCTATGTGATCTTGGGTAATCCAATTCATTCAGTCCAACTTATTTGCTGAGGATGCACGTGCAGGGTCTGCGTGACAAATTCTGTACCCACTTGCACGGGCACCCTTAGCTGTCTCTGAGGCTCCCCCCTCCAACTCTGAGCAGGAGTTTGCTCAACTTTTAAGGTGCTTGGGGCAGCTTATTTCCCAGGATGCTATGCAACAGGGTGGGGCCCGAAAGAAAACCATGCCTTGTCCTGCTATAGAAATAAGGTAAAGTGCAACGTGTGTGCATTCTGAGGAGCACCTCTCATGCTCCGGACTAGGCACTGCCCCCTTCTTACCAGCCCTGCTCCTGCACTTTTAAAGGCGGCCTGACCCTTCCCCCCCCCCAAGCCTGTGCTAGATTCTTATGTGTCAGACTGCTCTCAAACACGAAATGAAGAAGCCAGGCCAGTCAAATGCAACGCGAAGCAACACTATAGGGGAGGGGGGAGGGACAAACGGGGGGCTCCATCAAACACAGTTTTGGGAGGGGAAGAGATTAGTGCAAAATCCCAGGCCCCCACTGGGGAGCGGGTGTCCCACGGAGCCAACCAAATCATTTGAGATAAGCTTTCCTATATTATTTGCGTTGGATCTAGACGATGCGAGGAAAGGGGCAGTGGCAAGCTTTGCCTGGAGGGACAGACTGCCTGGCAGGCTGGCATCCACCCCCTGAAGCCCCCCCCCTTTCTCACCCCTGCTGCCCTTGCCCGAGGTCAACCGCGGGGGCCCCCTGCACGAAGGCCGGGCCTGCTCCTCCGCCCCCTCCTCTCTTCTTGTCGCCCGCCCTGCGCGCGCCCCTCTCCTGGCCAATCCCAGCTGACTCACTCACCCGCCCGGGCTCCATGGCGGCGGAAGACCACTTGCCGGTTCCCTCAACCCGCGCATGCGCGCTCCGTCGTCGGGCGAGGAGGGGGGGCGCCCCGGTGCGGAAAGAAGCGGGTCTGACAAGGGAGCAGCCCCGCAGCCTCTGCCCACCCCTCTCCTCCACCGTCATGAACGCAGCCCTCGCCACGCCTCCACCTCCCCTCCGTCTCGCCCTTTCCCTCGCGCCGGAGAGGCGCGCACGAGACGTCGGGAGGTGACCAACCTCCCCGGGCGGTCACGTGCCCTCGTGACAGCTTTCGTTTCCACTTTCCCGCCCCCCTTCGACGGTTAAGGAAGCGCGCTGACGGGTTCGTTGGGCCCTCTGCAGTCGGCTCTTGCTTTTAGACCAGAAGTCCTTCTTAAATTCCTCCTAGAGGACGTGCAGAGTTCAGTGACTGACGCTGTGGCAAAATTTTGTTTCTTGGCTATTAGGAAACAACCTTATTTTAGCTGAAAAAATTGTATGGGTCTCTTATTATTATTTTATTTTACTAATTTTATTGATTTTCTCTTGTTAATGTTTTCATACTATTGCTATGTTATTACTGTTTTAATCTCTGTTATATCAGAATTGAACTGTTTTACTGGCTCTTGCTGTAATAAGTTAGATCATTGGGTCGGGACGGGAGCAGGCTGGTGGAGGGCCCGCATTGTTGCTTAGTTAGTCTCTGGTAAGGTACTCTTCAGAGTTCCACAGTGAAGGAGGCTCAGACGTCCTCTGCCCATCAGTCTCCAACTTTGACATATTTATTTTCTTCGCTATGTTTCCCCCCCATGTACATGCCAGCCCGAGGTTTTTTTGCACCCTAGGCGGGGCTACCTTCTGGGCAACCCCCCCCCCGGCGTGCCCAATTACGTGGTTGCCAACCTCCAGGCAGGGCCTGGAGACAAGGAAGACAGCTGTAATGCCAGTAGGTTACAAAGTAGAATTTTTGCTCACAAGACCCCACAGATTAGAAGGAACATTGGCCATGACTACAAGTGGTATGTAACAAGGTTTTTAAAGGAACATACCTTCTTTGAGTTGTGCCTAGAATTGCCATAGCGGACCCACCACTGCCGGGAAGGGGGTGCCCCGAGGGGGGGTGGCCCCAAAGTGCCTCTCCCAGCCTGCCTGGGCACTTCCCGCAGGCCAGCGCCCAGAGGCGCTTGTCCAGGAAGGAGAGAGCTAGAAACTCCCCCCCCCAGCGGCCCTGCAGATCTCCGCTTTGCGCGGGACGGGAGATGACGCCGAGGGGCCGCCCGCCCAACCAGGGACCTTCCCGCAGGCGACCGAGTTAAGCCCTGGGTGCAGAGTGGAGGCTCCTCATCGACCCCAACTTGCCCGGAGGGGAGGGCGCTGCTGCAGGGGCTGGGCAGGGGCGCCAGAGGTTGGTGGGGCCCCTTGGCCAGAGGCGGAGCAGGCGAGCACTCCGCCCAACAGCCAGCCCGCCATGTGCGGGGAACACGTTGGGAAACACATCGGGTGCCATGAGCCCCTTCTGCAGGCCGGCGCCCGAGGGGGAGTCTGCTTCCGCCCCAGCAAGAACGTCGCCTGCCCCAGGTGTCCCAGCGGGCCTGAGCAGTCGCCGGGGGGTCTTCCAAGAGGCCCCCTTCCTCCCCTTTTGCAGGGCCTCCCATGCGTCTCCCACGGGCCAGCAGCTGCAGGTCTTCCTCAGGCTGCTGTCTGTCGCCGCTGTCTGCTGCCGCTGCTGGTTCTCCCGCTGCCACTCCTGGGAAACAGAAGTGGGCCTGCGCAGTCGCCAGTTGTGGCTCCTCCGGCTCTTGGAGTTCTTTGAGAGACGCTGCAAGGCCGGCCTCTTGGCTTGGGCTCGCAAAAAGGTGTGGACGGCAGGTGGTGGCGGTCCCGACGGCAGGGAGGGAGGGGCAGGTCCAATTTGGTGCCCTAAGGGCCGGCCCGCGCTCTAGGCGAATGCCTAGTTCACCTAGCAGGTAAGCCGGCCCTGTACATGCACATAGATCCAGATGGGGTAGCCTTGTTGGTTGAAGCAGCAGAACAAAGTCTGAATCTGGTGGCACCTTCAAGACCAACAAAGTTGTTCTTCAGATACAGTGAAACAATTTCCTCAACCATTACATATAGGAGGGGGGTGGTTAGTTGCTAGGAAGGGCCAATTTAGGGTTGGATCCAGGAGAGGGCGGGGTTTGGGGAGAGGAGGAACCTCAGCATGGTACAATGCCATAGAGCCCACCGTCCAAAGCAGCCATTTTCTCCAGGGGAGCTGATCTCTGTCAGCTGGAGATCAGTTGTAAAAGTGGGAGATCCCCAGGCCCCACCTTGAGGCTGGCAACCTTAGGCCAATTAGAGTCAAGGTTGAATCGAACCCAAACAAATGGTAACCATATAAATGGTGGCTGTGGTCACACACATTAAATAATCCACTTTCAATCTACTTTCAGTGCACTGTGTGAACTGGCAACATCCAGTTGAAATAGGGTTGCCAGCTCTGGGTTGGTAAATACCCAGAGATTTTGGGGGTGGAGCCTGAGGAGGGTGGGGTTTGGGAAGGGACTTCATTAAGATACAGTGCTATAGAGTCCACCCTCTAAAGTAGCCATTTTCTCCAGGGGAACTGATCTTGGTCATCTGGAGATCGACTGTAATAGCAGGAGATCTCCAGGTGCTACCTGGAGGTTGGCAACCCTAAGTTGGAAAGTGCGCTGAAAATGGATTATTTAGCGTGTGTGACCGCAGCCTAAACTTATTCCTGTTTGATCCTTGAATCTGTTAAACATCTTCATTATGCTGTATCTGAAGAAGTGTGTGTGCATAGGAAAGCTTATACCTTGAATAAAACTTGGTTGGTCTCAAAGATACCACTGGACCCAAACTTTGTTCTTGTATATAGTAGAGGGACATTGGCAATCGTCGTCCTTCATTTTTGTAAAAACGAAAATGAAACTTTATTCCTATTATTTCTATTTATTTATTTTAGGAAACTTCTATACCACCTCTTCAAAGTTCGAGAACTATATGTATATGTATGTATATTTTGTGAAGAAGTGAATACTTTATCATCTCCTAGGACCAATAGGGATGGCAGGAAGACCATTTTACCTGGGCCTGAAGTTCAAAGGGTGTCTTGGTGGGGTTTTTTGGGGGGAGGGGGCTTGATAAATTTTGCAGTCTTTTAATATACATCATGTGTTATCATGTAATTTTTTTCTTATGGCCCTGGCCCTCAAATGCTGGAAGTGGGCAAGGATCACTCTGGACCTCTGTGAGAGACTGCCATCTCCTCCTCTATTTATAAAGAGAGGTGGTTAAAATATATGTATATATTTTAGGAGGAGATGGGAAAGAAGTGCTCTCTCATTTCCTAAAGGGGAGCAGAAAAATAGCTACCCTGGACACTTAAGAGCATAAATGAAGGTTGAGAAGCTGAGGCCTGTATAAGTTATTTATCTGCTTTTGTAATACTTATAATTATTTACACTGTTATGTATAACATTTATCAATCACCCTGTGCCTGCCAAACAGGCACTCAATGTGAAAATGTGGTACTGATATTTATTTTTGAAGCTGCCTTGTAGATTCTTGTAAGGAAAAGCTGTGCAGCGGAGCTTTAATACACTATTGAAAAGTTCCTTTTTCTATTCTAAATTCTCAACATTGTAAAACTTGAATCAAAAAAATTCCTACAAACTAATTTAACACAAGCACAACAAACCTAAGAATCAGAAAAACAGCTTGGTAGTTCTTGAGGGGCCAAGGTTTATGGTTAGAGCACATGCTGTGCATGCAGAAGATCCCATGTTCAATCCCCAGCATCTCCACTAGTTAAAAGGATTGGACAGTAGGTGAAAGACCTCTGCCCAAGATCTTGGAGAGCTGTTGCCACTCTGAGGCTGCGGTCACCCGGAGCATTTGCCACGCTGACGATACAGATGGTAGGCGGATTTTCCGGGCGCGGAAAATCTGGGAAGCGTAGAGCTCCCGAGGCTTGCCGCCGAAGATGCGAAGTAAAAAACTAGTACCTCCGAGGTACTAGTTTCCGGAAACCACGGGGCAAGGGCGGGCACCTGATCGCGTTTCCGCTGGAATGCCGTGGCATCCGGTGCCCGCCGATGTTCATTGCAAACAAGGGTTGTTTTTTTCCTCCCAAGTCTCCAAAAGCGCCCAACAGCGCATGCGCACAAAGAGCGATTGCTAATGTGATTGTGTGGCGCAGCTTCTTTTAGTTCGAGAGAGGGCCACAGGAGGCTGCGATGGGAGTGAGCGGCAGAGGTCAGTCTGAGAGCAGGCTGCGTGTCCCAGGGAGGGAGGGCTGCTGGCGGGGAGGGGGGATCTGGCGGGTTAATCTCCCCCTCCCCTCCTTGCAAGCGGAACATGGACCCCGCCCGGAGTGGGCCGCGCGAGACCCTCCCAGAGGGTCTTTCCCTTTCTCATTCGCCTGGCTGCTCTCGGTGGAGGTGCAGGATACTCGTGTGATTGGCATCTCCCCCCTGACCATGGGACCTTGACCGGGACGTGTGATCGGGTTGCTGCACGTTATTTTCCTCCGGGGCAAACAGCCACTCTTCCCCTCTGCATTTTCTGGCCCGTGTGACCGCCGCCTTTGTAGACAGTGCTGACCTTGAGGGACTAATGGTCTGCTTCAAGTACAAGGCAGCTTCTTGTGTTCCTTCTGCTGCTATCCAGCAAGCATGTTCTGACAGCAGAAAAGCTTTTCTCTACAAGCTTGTTAAACTGGTAGAACCAGAATACACCTCCAGGCTCCACCCACAAAGGGCAGCTCTGTGACAAAAATGCAAGTACAGAATTTTGCCGACAGTATAATTAATTTCATCATGTAAGTTATCTTTGATAAGTGCAGAAATCGGATACAGTTTGGCAAGTAACCAGTAGCTGCATGATTAATCTTGGAGACAGAAACCCTTACCGACAAATCCCCCCCCCCCATCAGCTAAAACCATTTGTCCACACTGATTTGCATTCTGGATGTTGGCAGAGTGTAGATATGCAGTAAAGCGGAGCACAAGCTGATTAAAGAATAAAGTTGGTTTATTAAGAAGAGAACAAACTTTGTAAGAAAGAGGAGAAAGAGAAGTCTAACTGTCCAATGAACTAGAGAGTCAGTAACTAACTGATCTCAGCAGGGTGGGAAAAACCCCAACTGAGCCAATCAGGAGACAGGAGGAAGTCCCTAATCTCACTATGCTAACTAGTCGTCCCCTCTGCTGACCCCTGCAGGATGATCTAGTCATTTTCCTTATCTATGCAGGATAGACC